AGCATCTAAACTGAAAGAGATAGAAGACAGTAGAATTCAAAGTGTTTTAGCTCAAATCTGTTATATTATTTATAATATCACCACCGAACAAATTATTTACATTACACATAAAATTAATACAGTTAATTAAAAAATTATAGACTTGTATACTCCGCTTGGACCAATAACTAATAACTACTACTCACGCCATGACACCAAGTTATATAAAATGACCATTTCTCCAATTTTTTCCAACCAGTCCAAGTATCGGCAAATAATGCACGATATAGCATTCACTGCGAAGATATTCGTATTATATATCCAGGCTACCAAAGTCGGCGTCTCAAGATGGTGAAACTAATTAAATTATCGCCACTGTGTTCAAATACACGTTACGGAACATTCACATTACTAACATAGTGTTATTATTATTCATTTATTTCAACACATAAATATCAGTACAAGAGGGCGCCAAATATATTTGCGCCACGCCACATTCGTGTGTGTGGGCTGTGATACTGCCGGGGTGCCCAAACTGAAGCAGGTGGTTTACTTAGGGGGCCACACCCGGAGCCTTCGACCTGAAGGTCTGATCCACAAGGCGGTGGAGCAACGTAAGGAGATGCATTACCATGGTAGCCGGTGACCAACGATTGGTTCATACGCCATTTGTTCCTTCAGGATACTGGAGCCCATGTGTACCATTGGTTTGGGATCCGGTTAAAGCGCCGGACATTCACTTTTCGTCCTCTCATTTTCGTAAACAACACCCCCGCCACGAGAAGGCAGTGAGTAGGACTTCCCTGGCAGAGGCTGTATACGCGTGGCCGTGTGAGAGCATTTCGAAAAGGAGGGCGGTCCCTTCCCACTCTCGGCCGTACCAGGGCATTTGGGGGCTAACATAGTGTTGTCATTGGATGTAAGTAATCCTTCGGAGACAACGGTGATTAAGTATAGAAAGTTACCTGACATATTTAACTTGATAAGGACAGCTTTCGCATGTATAATCCATAACTCCTCTGATCGATGGGCTGTAAACCCAGCCGGTTACAGTCAGATGAACATCACGACGGCGCCAGCTACTTCTTTCAACTTGTTAACACACTATGAACATCAGGTTTCTCATTCCTTATGCATAGTTTTATTACATAACAATCTACATTTATCATTTAAACATGTTACATATGAAATTGTCAGTTGGACAAGTTAACATATCAAAACCTTCCTAATATGACGGGGTTGTTTTTCTTTTGTTTTACACTTGGAAGAGTATAACAGCTGTTTAGTCCTTATATCGAATAATTATTCTTTTGAATTAAACTTTCTTTAATGAAATATTAAATTTTGTGACTATAGGCAACAATATTTACTTCAGGTGTTAAAAAGAACAATTCATATAATTGTTTCACTCGAATCAAATCAGATTCATGTGTTTCAGTTAAAGTTGCCAATGCTTGTTGTAATCGATAAACATTTCGACACCTAAATAATAACAAGAAAGAAAACAAACGTTAACTTTAATGTTTAGATCATAAATAAATAAACACTCATACAAACACAAGTAATATATTCTAGTTTCTTTTGAGAATTCCTACTAAAAATTAGTGTTTGTTTAAAGAAAACAAATATCACACGTAAACAAATTTATTTCGAATAAATTGCAGCTTAGACAGACTCATGAATTCAACTAATTAATACGATCCCTACAATCCCTCATTCTGATCATATTCATCATGTGGTCACTAGTGATGGATGAATTTCTCGAAGTTCTAATGTGAGAAATCGTGATCAGTGAAGTCCAATCCGTGATAGATGTGAGACAGTTATCTACTGAAGACAATGGATGAAGTGTTGTACATGATCATGAATTGATTAAAGTTAGACATTAACACTAATGGATGCCTGCTCAGTGTTCTCGAGGTTAAACATTCGCACATGAGACCGAAGATTCTGCGTGCTAAATCGTTGATACGTACTGCTGAAGAGTCCCATATCAGGATGAAACTGCCGTCCAGTGCTTATAGGTTTTTCATGATGGTGTAGCTGAGATGGACTCATGAATTCGACCATTAAAATTCATATTCATCCCGATCAAAAGAAATACAGGCATAAAATCACTTTCAAAATACCATTTAACCAGATGAGAATGACTTTGTAGTTGGTAAGATACAGGCGCTTAACCAACTAGACCACTGAGCCACTTTTGTATCCATATTAGATCATCTAAGATGATCACAGAACTATTCAGTTTTGTTAATAATGTTAAAATATTAATTGGAACATTAATCGTAAATGCGTTTTTTCTACTTCGAGTTTTTACATGATCTTTGTCGTTTTCTAATTGATTGCGATTACTCTTAGATTGTCAGTTTTCTGTACGTCTAAAAATCATGCTTCTGTTATCATATATGCTGATTTATTCCATTTTAAGTTGTCCCATGCTTGAATATAGAGTTTCTCTTGAACTTCATCATCTTCCTGTATAGTCGGCAAATTTTTGAAGTACTATATGTACTTCTCGTTATTAAGTCCATGATAGAATTATTTGTACTAGATATAGATTAACCGTTCCTGAATCCGCAAGCATCGTAAACCAACCGGAAACTATTATATACATAATCATTTAAATAAAGACATAGTAATATAGTATTTTTTTTCTTTTTGGACAACACTCATGATGATCTAGTCCTTCAGATTTTAGACGGTTAGAAGTAGTCAGCAGACAACTCTGAACCCAGGTTTCCTCAGTTAATAATAATAGGTGGAATTAGATCGGCATCAAAAAAATATAATTAGACTAAAGTGATATTGATTACTACTATTCAATGATAAATCAATGGCCCATTCCTTCGTTTCAAGCATGACGCATCACTAAACAGAAAACGTTTCTCTGTCGATATCCCTATTTAAGTTCTCAATAAGCAGTGATCTATGAAACACATCCCAAGCCAACCTATTAGAACAATAAAATGGGTTGGTTATTTAACTTTATACTAATTGAAAACATCAACACCAAGGAATAGCAAGAAACATTGATTACGCAGGTGACACATTTGTTATTCTCAATGGATAGGAACTATGAAATACTCAAAACATGATAAATAGCATCTTAGAAGACATAAAGTTTACAGAAGTATATGAATCGGTGAACAAAATATCAGTCCTGGATATATTCAGAAGAGAAAAAATGCACTACAGCACACTCTACACAAAAATTCGGAGGAAATCATCTTCTGTCCGTCCTAAGAAAAAATGGCTATCCTCACAACATTATCGAAAAATCACCGTACCAGCTAAAAATAGACCCAGAAATCAAATCGTAAATCGTCCTAACGTACGTGAGAAACGACAAAGAAATCACTGCAAGGATTATAAAACCTTTGGAATCAAAGTCAATCACAAGTCAACAGAAACACTTCAATTTTATACAGATTAAAAAGCAAAAAAGTGAAAAAGACAAACATATTATCTACAAAATAAATTGTGACAACTGTGGCAAAAATTACATTGGACAAAGTGGACGCTCCTCCATCTACTCACACAATCTGTCAGTAAAATGACACATGTCATCATCTCAGTCAGTCAGTCAGTAAACCATTATAAAGATCCAAGTAACACGAAACACGCGGTCCGGATTTCATTTCTAGATGCATTCCATCTTTTTTAAATAATCGAGATAGTTTAGACTTCAATGGAAATAAACTCGCAACTAAGATCATGTGGACAGAGAATTAATGAATAATTCTCAAAACTCTTGAGTTCGCTTCATGGGTAAGAACTATTGAAAGGCAATAAACTTTAGTGAGATGGATATTTCAAACTACTTATTTAGTAATTTCAATGGTTGAAATCATGAGTCAATTGAAGCTAGACCACTATGGAAAAACTGGAAGCACTGGAAGACCGCCTCGTCCTATTATGGGACTCTTCAGCAGTGCGCATCCACGATCTCACCCCCCGCGAGATTCGAACCCAAGACCTATCAGTCTCGCGCGCGAGCGCTTAACCACTAGACCACTGAGCCGGCATCCTTGGTGATCTAGCTTCAACCGACTCATAATCTCAACCATTGAAATCACTATAATATCCACAAAACCCCTTCTGATATTTATTTAGTGTTTGTCAAACTTTCAGCTTTCATTTTGAAATACTTTTGTTGGTATTCCAAAAGTGGTTTGGATAAGAATTGCTGAAGTTCTTGATATTTGATTATTTACGCTGTAACATGAAACTGAATCCATGAAGGTAATAAACATTATTTATCCCACTGTAGATCATGACACATGATCTTTTTCTCATCGTCTTTAATAGTTTATCTGTTCCAAGTTTCTTACTTAACTTAGAGCGACTAGTTTCATTCTTTTTAATTTTCCTCTTGCCGCTTACTAACCGATGTACTGATTTCAAAAGTGATAACAACGTTCAGTTAATTGAATATTCAATCCGACCCTACACTTGGCTTTTAAAAAACTACTTCCTCAGTCATATCTACATACTCGTGCATAAAATGTCAACAATATTTGCATATTTGAAACTTAGGCGACATTTATTTACAGTACCTTATGTTTTTTAGTAATATAAGAAAGTTACAGGTTGAAAGGCCACCTTCTAAATGTTTTTCTTTAATGTGCGTATATCCGTGTGTAGGGTTGTTTAGAGTCAACCAATAATAGAAAACTAATTAAAACAAAAAGAACTACAATCGACCAGTCAGAAATAAGAGGACATTTGAAATTACAATTCAGTTCAGACAAACTAATGACATGTCAGTATTACTAATACTACTAGTAGTAGTAATAATAATAGTTTATTCCTTCTCAAACGTGTTTATGACAATTTGACTTAACATATGTGGTCTATCGTGTATATTAACTAGGTATACCAAAAGGTCAAATAACAACAACAGATAATACTACTAATATTAATCAATTAATCAGTTGAGACAAAGCATGAAACAAAGGAAAGTAAAATAACGAAAACAAAAAAAGAAACAGAAAGAATCAGACTACAAACTGACTTACTTTCACAGCCACTTCTTGAACTATACCATTATCCAAGTGTAGTCTGCCTCGATAAACTTCACCGAATTCACCTTCACCTAGTCTATACAATAGAATGACAGCATCGCTAGGAATTAAGCGAAGTTCACCAGAACCAGTTGTAGATCCGATGCAAGACGTCCCAGATGCAGTTAATTGTAGACCAGCTGCAACTGGAAGGAGACCACCACCACTGGACATACCGGAGACGCCGGAACTCGATGAACTATGGTGTTTCCCCTGTGAGTGATTGATGAATAATTTAAAAAGACAAATAAAAGTGATCATTAGAGAGACCATGTCAACTAATATGATAAGAGAAAAAACAACTGAATGTAAATTAAATACCTGATTTGATTTTTGTCCATGACGTGAAGCACCCTTAGCAATTGACATTGACAAAGGTGCACCCATACGACCACCATGTAAACTGGATGAGATAGTTCTTAAAGCCCATGCATCACCACCAACGGCAGAAGACTCAATTTTCCTTAATTCTTGACCATGATTATCTAGATTGTGAGGTGCCAATTGTTCAATATTAGTAATTCTACCAGACGGAGATATAGCATAGTGTAAACGCACAGGTATTCCATCTGCGAAACGACTATAATGTTCTACTAAGTGTTCTAAGGATAAATGAAGTGGACCCTAAAATGAAAAGAAAAGAGGTTACGTTTAAACACAAATCAAATTAAAGAAAACAAGTAGTTGAAGTATGCGATTAAATAAAAACGAAAAACTAACCCAGATAAGATGATCAAAGTCAGCTTACAATAGTAAATAACTATCATTGCAAGAAACGAGGGAAGAGAATGATTCCATTGTTTCTGTTTCGTGATGAGTCACGAACATGGAAGCATTGATGTACTTTATGACGAAACATAAACTATTGGTGTAAAACGAACATCAGAATGTGAAGTTGTAATACTGTCTAGGAAATCTGACTACTGATGGAGTTTAATCGAAATAACTAGCGTACAAAATATAGAAACGTTTGAAGATTTGTTCCTGAGGAAATCATTAAAAACGGCAAGATCTCCTAGAATGAGAGCCATCCAGAACATGTAGACAAAGTTCTGGATAAGAGTTTCATGCATTTAGTACAGGTTTATAATTCAGTAATTCCTTGAGAATTTAAACGAACATACACATCACTCAGTTTAAACGTAAACTGTCCACAGTTAATTTTTCGTGTTGAAACATTTCAATGAATTAGAGTAGATATAATGTTTACTTCTGACAGTCATATAATAACATTGTAATAATCAGTACACAAATAGTTTTATCATTACATCCGATAACCACCTTTATAATGATACTGTTTTAATAAACAATAAAAATTCTATGGATTAGTCAGAAAATTAAAAAACGCGCATACCTTATCAATGAAATAAGCTTCTTTTGTATCCATATGAAATGAAAAATCAACTACTTCTATTTGATATTTTAATGTTTGATGTTGATAATATAGAACAAGTACAAATTTTCTTTCTGATTGTGATGATCGTCGAATTAGAAATGCACCATCTTTAATTGTGGAACAATTGGAAAATATTTTATCGGTTTCCGATTTTGATAATGAAGGATGATACCAATCGTTCTGTATGGAAATAATAATAACAAATAAATGAAGTGGAGAGGGGGTGGTGAAAAACAGCATGAACACATTAGTAAAGTTATATCTATTGAGGAATTCCTGATGGATTTTTGTAAAAATAGATCTTATCGATTTGCATCATATGTGATAACAATTATATGCTCATTTACTGATCAGAAAGTTAGTATATTGCATCTTGTGGTTATTTTACGACTATGTTTCGAGTACCATTAGAGGTATGAGGGCAGTTACTACATTTCAATTGCTTACACTGTAGAAAGATAATTTTTCTTCAAGTATCTGAAAAGGAGACTGCGTTATGGACGGTTTAGGAGCGTGAACGTAGTGCCTAAGGGTCAACTGTTTAAGGCTGGTCACATACAAACTTTCTGTGAATAATCTAAGATGTGTTAGTCCCCTATTTCAAAAGCCTTATCATAGGAGACGAAAAGCCGTGGGCAAAGGTAAGTCATTTAAAGGCCGACGTTTTCCAGTCCTTTCCTTCACAGAGAAGTCAGCATCTCCGTAGGTTCTGGTTTTCGCAGGAAAACACCTTACTGACATCATACTTCAACAGTCGGTGGTACGATTTCGCCCTCTGACTATGGGTTTGGTGCTTTTAGTTTAGGTACACTCCAACCGGACTATCTGGCAAGAGAAGAGCTTAAGAAAAGAGAATGTCCTAGCCAATAGAATTCGATTGGGCAATCACTATAGGTAACCCCGACCACCATATCAAGGTAGCAGTCGCAGCCGGGTTACAGTTGTGTTAGGGGTATGCATAAATTGGTAACAATATAATAGACATTTTCGCAGCATTACTTTTAGAAACACTAAGTGAGTAGTACTGATGATAAAGTATATTCTTATTTAAAACTCATAAAATGTACTAAGATATTTACTGAAATTGTAAACTACGTATAAACATTAAATTCAGATAATGAGCAGAATTAACTCTTACTATACCCATATCCTTTTGTTAGGTGTCCACTAAATTCCCACTAATAGTACATCCATAACGTAACATAAAATTTGCAGATACATTTTAGTTAATCTGAGCAGTGAATTTTTCAACATTTAACGTTACAGCCAACTAGGTAATTTTCGATTTCCTTATAACTAAACAAGACAGTATAGTTATCTTTCGTTTAATAGACGTATTATCGAAAGTCTGGTTTACGAATAGTTGTAATTTGACTACTGAGGTGGTATTTTTGTTTTAAAGATAAATTCCAACTTTCATCTAATACTAATCAGCATATAATTTAGTTTTACACACTGAAAAGAAAAATCATAATGTCATTCCGACAAGTAAACTGTTATATAATCATACTTTTTATTTTTAAACATCCAGTAATAATACTAACAACGTAAATCATAACACAATGGCATCCTAACATTAGTGTTATTATCGATTTTAACACTTAGGAGGTCGGTTATCAATCGTAAAATACTCATGTACGTGCCGATCTGCGAAAAACAACCTATATACAGATGATATGTGATTGGGTATATCATTCATACTATTTTATATGCATTACATTAATAATGATGAATCAATCAAAATTCAATCATCAAACTGCACATTATTAATAAATTTGACCTCATTCAGTCAATTATAAACAGAATGTGGGACTTAACATATATATATATATATAGTAGTTAAAGTTGCCAAAATTTACATCAGTGTAGCAAGAGGAAATTAACATTTTTTCAATCTACTCACAATTCGACAATTCATGTTGTAATGGGCAGTTAGCAGCAAGCAATCGAAATCCTCTTAGTTTTAGATACTATTCCACTGAAATATTCACTTGCGCGTAGATTATAACGAGTAGATAAGGGAAAAACGAATTACTTTGCATACCCATATTCCCATTCACACCACTTAGAAAATCCTTATATACTAGAGAGACGCGAAATCCATTTGGCTAAATAGCGTTTTCATGAAAACCCTAAATCTAGTTCCTAACTTTAACCATCAGCCTCAAATTATAAATTGAGTTCCTCACACTGCTTTATAAACCCTCATTTGGTCCTGATTAGTAGGTAAAGATTCTCAAAGGTCACTTGAGCGTCACTCAAAGGTCGTCCATGAATTATGGTCTCACCTGAGTGGCCTACAAACTAATCACTAATGAGACTTTATTATCTGTATTTGGTGTGCGCATTCTGTGTACAAGCATTTTATTTTACTAGACGGAAAAACCTAGTTGTTTGGCTAGTGGTCTTGTTTTTGATTTCAGATCATCCAGAAGCTTAAGCCAATAATTCGTTTTTGTAAACAGCCATCACTCATTCACATCATATTGTGTTCATCTATCGATGAGTATCCTATTCATTGATTTTAACAGCCGAGAATTTCGTCTCATTGAATTGTCAAACGCCTCTATAGGAAGTACCTCCTAAGTGCTGAGATTAAAGACAGTATTATTGTACCCTTAGTTAAACATGAAAATGGGATTAGTTAGTTATAAGCAACGCAGAACCAGACACAAATGTGCATTGGTTGGGTATACCATATATCGGTAGTCCTCGAAATGTTACTGTTATGATCTCTCTTATTACGACCCAGCTACTCTTATTGCTCAGTATTCTTTGGACACGACTTCGCTTAACAAGTTCCCAAATCAGAACATATTTGAACAGGAACGTAATTATATTCCAAATAACAAGGTTGGATGGAAGTAGGAACCATAATGATAAAAACGTTAGTTTATTTATAATGTTTGCATAAGAAGACTTAAGAGTGTCCGCCAGAGTTGATTGGTTAAGGAATAGTCAATCAGAGTGCCTCAATACAATCCTGCAAGGGACATGCTGTAATCTAATCTATACTCCGCTAGTAGTTACTAACCCATGAAAAAGCCATCATTGTGTTGATCAGCTCCATAATTCATTGATACACTCCTTTTAGCATGGTTTACTAAATGACCGTTGGCTGATCATCACTTGAGGATTTAAATGGGAGTGAACACAAGTTCACACAGATAGCCATCATTGATTGTCAGGGTGTCATTGCAACTACTTCAAATAACTTAAATCTTACTTATTTTTTACAAAACAAGGAGTAATAAATTAATGGTTAGATTTTTTTGATAGAACACCTCAGTATCATTACCGTGAGATACATTATCTCTAGTTTTTGCAGTAACAATTCATTAAGATATAAGCTCAACAAACAGCATCTTGAAAACCAACAATAATCTAATTGAAAGGGTCATGACATGACCCTAATAGAATTAACTGAACTTCTTGGATTCCACTGTCCGCCACTATCTTTTGCTAGAAATATCTTAAAATCGTGTGTTCTGGTTTGGTAATTAACTTCTTAGGCGATCGCTGAGTGGTTAAGACGTCTAAACATCCACGTCCATCGCTGAAATCAGCCTGATTTTCACGAGCTCTAGTTAGGCGTTGAATTATTAGAGGCTTATATTTGAAACACTATACTAGTCAGACTGATTCCTGTTTGATTGCCATAAGAGGATTTTCGTCCTTTCTTAAAAACTGGGACGATCAGAAATTGGGACTTTTTAGATGGGATTACCTAATGCATTAGTCAATTTAAATTATAATAGTTCTAATTTTTTTTATAACAAATGTCCCCAATGAATCTATAAACAATACTCTCCCTAATCATTTTCATTGTTACACTAATGTTTACTTTGCTCTTTACTTCTTTAATACAGTCTAATTTCTTGTATCAACTACATATACAAACACGTTGAATAATATTTATCTTCTCCTAGAGAAGATACAGTCCTTTTGTAGAAGATAACCACTTTTTTCGTGTACAATGCTACATAGTGGCTAAATCATCGTTGTCTCTCATTTCAAGCAATGGTAAGTTTCTATCATTCATGAAGTAAGGGCTTGGTCACAGCCCTACAGACTGAGTGTAACAGCATATTTATGTACTCATATAAAATCACGAACAGTAAATTTGAATTATCCGTTGGAGCACATTCAAATCACAATACACCAGCCGATCCTGTTCAGTTAGTCATCAAGGTATTGTGACAATCCTTATTTTATTTATTTGAATACATAAATATTGGTACAAGAGGGCACCAAATATATATGCGCCACACAAAACAATGAGAATTTGAAGAGGAAAAAAAGAAAGGCAAAGGGCGTTGAAAAAAGAACAATAACGAACAGATTAGTGTAAGGTATTGTAATAATAATAATAATAATAATAATGATAATAATAATAATAATAATAATAGGGGAAAAAGAAACGTACAATCAGAAAAGATCTTTCAGTTAAGGAAGAAGCAACCACTTTTTATGAAGAAAGTAAAAGGTTACAGCAGGATCGCCACTGGCTTCTATTCTGAGCCATATCTGATAACGTCTCTAGCCACTCTGCCGCACCATCTCTCGGACCCCAACCAGGGAGTCATGAGAGACCAACACAGGCCAGCCCTTTGCAGCTTTCCTTCATGCCACGACACCATGTCATGCACTGACCACCTCTACGCTTCTTCCAACCAGTCCCAGAGTCGGCAAATAATGCACGATGAGGAATTCTCTGGGACGACATTCGTAGAACATATCAAAGCCACCGAAGTCGGTGTTTCAAGATGGTGACATCAATTGCATTATCGTCTCTGCACCCGAACACACGATGCCGAACCTCTGCATTACTAACATGGTGTTGCCACTGGATATCAGCAATCCTTCGGAGACAACGATGATCAAACACAGAGAGTCGTCTAACATCCTCAAATAGGAGAGGCCAGGTTTCACAAGCATAGAGCAAAACTGCTCTCACCGACGTGTTGTAGATCCGACCTTTTACAGCCAGAATAACGTCACGAAGGAGCCAAAGATGGTCCAGATTGGCATAAGCCGCTCTGGCTTTCACTATGCATGCATTGATCTCATCACTCACGCCACAACCAGCACTTATGCAGCTACCTAGATACACGAACTTCTCGACTACTTCTATCTGCTCACCATCCAGGGTGAGTACAGGATTAGAATCCTGCCAGTCCTGTTAGAAATACTTTGCACTTCGAAGGTGCAAAGCACATACCATACCTACGGACAATCCTTACTAACCAATAACAACTGTATAATCCTCAGTTAATGTAAATCAGTAACTACGCAGGTAAAGCTTTGACATCGACAAGTACATACAAAATTCGCTATGTAGTGGATATTACACTACACTGTTTTGAATAGAGCTACAACTGAAAACATAACCAACAATTAATTTAATGTTTCCAACAGTACTAGTATGACGAATCAAATAATGTGCTTCTTAGTAATAATATCGACCAATAACTAATATATAAGGACAAAAATAATTTTCACAAAAGGGGGAAAATACAATTTACCTGCATTGTAATTGCTGGAGCAGGTTTGTAACCGGCCAGAGCAGCAGCTAAGTCAGCAAATCCATAGCGCAGAGCTAATTCAAAAGGCATCTCAGCTTCAGCATTTCTTGCCCATGGAGCAGCATGGTAACGTAGGAGACAGTTTACACAATCGGCATGACCTAACATAGCAGCTTCATGAAGTGCAGTATTCCCAGAAAATGGGCATTTGATCTGAGGATTAGCACGGCCGACTCTTAAAAGGGTTTCAGCAACATGTGCAAAACTTTTTTGACATGCACGATGAAGTGCTGTGAATCCACCGCAATCTCTTAAATTTACAGACGCATTGTGCTCTAATAAAAGCTAATTGAACAAAATGTACATTAAATAGAACTTGCTTAACAGGCACAACGATGTATAAGAAGTAATTATGTACACAATAATAGATAAATTGAGCACAAAAGCAAGCTTGAGTGTACACCGAATAATGAACTGCGTCTACTGCTCCATTTCCTGAGAATTCGACGAAAGTCGAGTTAAAAGAAAGGAATGTTTAAGTCACAACTTTTATAATTTTAATTCACTGTACTTACTAGCATGTTCGTTCGTCATAAATTTTTTCTAATAAATAAGTCCCAGGAAAGCATTAGTTCGAGAAAAACCCGAAAATGTCCAAAGACTGCAATATGGTAGGATGGCCAACTATTCGCTTTGCGAAATAATGATATAAATGTTAGTTATAAAGTACATTAATGACTATCAATATAGATGCATGTGGTAAGCATAAGTCTAACAGTTTACCGGGTACAATCACTATTATTACATAAAAAATTAGAAAAGATTGCATAAGAAACAATCGAATTACGGATAACTAATATGACAAAACTACAATTTGTAAGTTATACTTACCCGGACAATATCATTGGAGCCTGTTTTAGCAGCTTCGATTAATGGAGTAGCGCCACTGTCAGCTGATTTTTCGTTCACATAATCCGATAAACTTGTTACTTCCATTGAGTTGACACGCGTAAAGAGGTCACGAACACCCTTGCAAACACAAACGTAAACAAAAAAAGCTTCACACACAGTCACAGTAATCTTGATTAAGAGAACTGTTTTAAATGAGATTTGTGACAAGACAAACGAGTTTCTGATTGCGGCATAAGCCTTTTATGAAAACAACTTAAATATAAAGAGTAAGGACTAGCATGGAAATTTGTGTTGCTCCTCTTACCTCACGATAGTAATAATGAGTGATCAGTCAGTCAGTCAGTCAGCTACAACGTAGGACCAGGCACATATGTGCATCGGTCCAGGTTGCCATACCTCATTAGCACAACAAGATGAACACCGGATTCATAGGAGTGGTTAGGTCAAAGGTTGCAATAAGGATATAGTATAGGAAGGAAGAATTAGTTCGTAGAAAGAAAGGTATGAAGTGATTTTAATCTCTTAGTTTAAGGGAAGACAGGGAGTGTATACACCGACGCCATTGTGATCGATTCTGAGCCATGTCACCAAGAGTCTCCAACCATTGGTTACGAAAGTCACGCGGACCCCAACCAAGTAGTCTGCATCTACCAACATGGCTCAGACTAGAAGTTAGTGACTTCAAGCACTGATGCCACGTTTTGGTTTGGCCGCCCCTAACTTTTTTCCAACCATCCCCTACACCGGTTAGCATTGCACGTCGTGGTAATCGGTGTTCAGGCATACGTAATACGTGGCCCAACCATCTCAGTCGATGAAGATTCATAACCTCATCAACTGATTTACCATCATTCCCTAATACCCTGCGTCTAACCTCACTATTACTTACCCGGTGATCCCAGCAGATGCCAGCAATATTTCTAAGGCATCTGTGGTCAAATACTAGTAGCTTACGGGTGTCTTCTACTCTTAAAGGCCATGTTTCGCTGCCGTAAAGTAAAACAGAACGGACTGCCGCGCAGTATACTCGTCCTTTTATTGATAGACGGATATCTCGCCTCCGCCAAAGGTGACGTAAGTTGGCAAAAGCCAAACGAGCTTTACGAATCCGTGCTGAGATTTCGTCAGACACCAACCCATTAGGGCTGATCAGACTTCCAAGATAAGTGAAGTTGTCAACGCGTTCGACTACTTCACTCCCTATCCTTAGTTCAGGTGTTGACGCAGACCAGTCCTGAAGCAACAACTTGCATTTAGAGGGAGAGAAGCGCATCCCAAACATTCTGGCATTGTTGCTTAGTGCTACCAGAAGACTCTGCATTTTGTCAGCGTCTTCACCAAACAGGACTATGTCATCTGCGTATTCTAAGTCGATAAGTGGACCTCCTGGAAGGAGATCAATACCCGAGAATTCAGTCGACGAGAGTGTTATTTCCATCAATAGGTCTATGATGAAGTTAAACAAAAATGGAGAAAGTGGGCAGCCTTGACGGACACCACTTGAGGTTGCAAAAGTAGATGACAGTTCGCCATAAGCCCTGACTCGACTAGTAGTGTTCGAGTAAAGAGCCTTCACAAGGTTTATGTACTTCTGAGGTACGCCTTTCAATGACAGACACTGCCACAGAGTCTCGCGGTCTACAGAGTCAAATGCTGCTTTTAAGTCAAGAAAGACCACCATCGTCGGACGCCGATAGGTATGCCTGTGTTCTAGAACCTGACGAATGGTGAATATGTGGTCGATGCAGCCACGACCAGGTCTAAAGCCAGCTTGGTTCTCTCGTGTTTGTAGTTCACGAGTCTTAGTTAGGCGTTTGATAATTATCGAGGCCAGTATTTTAGATACTATGTTTGTTAAACTAATCCCTCTGTGGTTGTCACAGGATGATTTTGACCCTTTCTTATATATTGGGACGATAAGTGATTGCGACCAGTCAGATGGGATAACGTCTAATTCCCAGATCTTAGCTAAAATATTAGTCAACCTAATCGCTAAAATTGGACCACCATCCTTAAAGACCTCTGGAGCCAATCCATCTGGACCAGCTGCCCTTCCTCGTTTCAGATTAACTATAGCCTTTTGAACTTCAGCAAGAGTTGGGGGACCTACTTCAATGTTCCATTCACATTGTCTGGGAATGGAGGGTAGTTGTAGAGTAGCTGAAGGCCAGCTGAACTGTTCTCTAAAATGTTCCGCCCATCGTTCTAAACGTCTGGACTGGGAGCAGATGAGAGTATTATCTTTTTCCGAAATAATCTCACTTACACTTGACTTATTAATTCCAGTTTCTTTTATTAGTCTGTAAAGCTGTCTTGTGTTCCCTATAGTCGCCGCCTTTTCCATCTCTTTTGCTTTCGTTACCCACCACTGCTCACGGTCGTTCCTTAGACTTTTTCTTAACCTAGATCTGATTTGTTGTCGCTCTTCATCATGTTCGGAACCTGATGGGACGAGTTTGCGAGAATCCATCAGTGTGACAGACCTTGAAGAAATCCACTGGTTCTTTGTAACTCTGTGGTTTAAGTCACTAATAGATGTCACTGCTGTTTCCACAGCTGCTTGTATGCCCTTCCAAGCAACATCTGGGTCAGCCTCGTCTTCACAACTACCTAAGTGTGACCTCAGTTGTTCCTGGAACCTACTTTTGGTTTTCTCGTTACTCAACTCAGTTCTAACGGGTCTTTTTAATGTGGCTTTTTTGCGTCCAGTGAGGCGCAAGCAGATGCGTGCCCGTATTAGGGCATGGTCGGAGTCCAAGCAGGTACTCCAGAATGAGCGACAATCTTCTACCGACCCTCTCCAACGATGACTGATGGCAATATGGTCTATTTGAGTCCATCGTTGGTTTGGTGTAGGGGGTCGCCATGTTAGACGATGTCTCTCCTTATGCTTAAAATTTGTGTTTGCTAAAAATAAACGATTGTCTGAGCATAGCTGCAGCAGACGATCACCATTATCTGTTCGCTGTGTCGGAATACTAAAATATCCACCTAAATGCCTTTCTGTTTGGTTTAAGCTACCTATCTGAGCATTAAAATCACCTGCTACGAGTACTATGTCTGAGCGTTTAGCTTTCTGAAGAAGTTCGGAAAGCTTTCTGTAAAATTCATCTTTCACTTCATCTGAGCTGCAGTCAGTGGGAGCGTAGGCAGAAACGACAAAAAGGCAACGACGTGTGTCCCTATCCTTCCGAGTTCTTACGCAGCCGTTCAGCCGAACAGCACATAGACGACTGTTGACGGGGATCCACTCTAGCAGTGCTTGTTCGGCCCTCATGCTTAGTGCTATGCCTACACCTGCCAGTCCACGAGAACTGGCCATCGGGTCACCAGATACACGAAGGGTGTATCTCGTTGGCTCTCCGTTCTGCCGAGGTGAGGTCAAGTGAATGACCACACTGGAATCCTGTATGCGTGTTTCGGAGACACAGCATACATCAATGGAAAGAGACTCTAGGGTTTTAGCCAAGGAAGCCTGCTGACCGATTTGACATAGGGTGCGTACGTTGAAGGCTCCAATGTGTAGTTTGGAGCGAGGTTTCAGTAGACCTGGGACAGAGTTTTGAGCACTAGAATCGTTGGCTATGGTGACACTTGAGGAGGAAGCCAAAGGAGGAAGTTTAGGGTTGAAAGTCGATGTAGGAGGAATAATAGGAATTGAAGAGGAAGGTTGATTATGAATACAGTGGTCTTGGGTGCTGTTAGAGGTATGAGGGCGGTTATCACTTCCCGGTTGCCCACACCGTGGAAGGGTTCTTCTGGAGGTACCTGAAAAGGAAATTGGATTAGAGGTGGCCTCAGTGACCTGAGAGCGTGACCGCAGTGCCCAAGGGACAACTGCTTGAGGCCGGTCGCGCACGGCCTTTTCGTGGAAGGTTTTCGACGTGTTAGCTCCGTTCTTCAAAGGGCCTTACCGCCGGAGACGGAAATCCGTGGGTAAGGTGAGGTGTGCATTTTTAGGGTCGACCTTTTCTAACCCCACCCCTCCTTGTGGGAAGGCAGCATCGCTGTCATGCTGGTTGTCTGAAGGAAACACCTTACTGCTGTCACACCTCTGTACAGTCAGCAGTACGACTTCGCCTTCGGACCTTGGGTTTGTTGCTTTTAGTCTTACCGCTCTTCAACCGACCTGTCTGACATGGTAGGACCTTGAGGAACGGTTGTTCCAGCCAGTATAGCTCGGTTGCTTCATCACGATAGGCAAGCCCGACCACCACGTCAAGGTAGCAACAACGGTCGGGAATGGTAGCAACAACGGTCGGGTAAGGTAGCAACAACGGTCGGGAATGAGTGATCACGGAAAGTAAAAAAGACAGGTTGTAACATGGTCAAAATTTCCATTTAATTTGATGTCCAGTGCCTTTTGCCTCGACCCTCGATTATATATATATAACTCGATAGGCAAATAAATGTCGGTCGGTTTATGCACATCTCACCGACCATCAGTTATTCCAGTAGTTTATGTACTATAAGCTTCAACAATAAAAGCACGGTAATCTGTTTAAAGCCGACAGCTAGATAATAAAAAAAAATGATATCACCAAAACAAGATTCGTGTCAAGTAATAATTCACTAGTTATTCTCGTTCAGAGGACCTCTATCATGAAACATACGATTCCTCCTGTGGGATAGAAAGGTAGCTTGGCTCCATAGATTAACTCAATATTTCGGTTTGGCCATCTTAAAACCTTTTGGATTCTCAGTAGATTCCAGTGGAAATAGTCTACCGATGGTAAACGTGAGTGCATAAAACGTCCTCAATTGTCGGTCAATGAGTTTATAAACTAATCAACTGGTTCCCTTTTAAAAAACACCACACTTAATATTTAACTTTCAGTCCCATGACTCCACGACATATCAACAAAGCTTTAGAAATATGTTTGGTTGAATACTTGTCTTAACACTGACTACTACCAAATAGGCATATTTAGTAGATAGGGAGAGGACTGGTATCGATTTATACAATGATTAACTAACCTTAAGATTTGCTTTCCTTACAGCATGATGCAAGTCATTGGTTACTCCATAAACAGTAATATGTGGAGGCGGCCGGAGACCTGGAGCAGGCTTCCCTAATGAGCAAACTATGCAGTTATTTGCACGCCTGAACTCTGATACAAGTAAGTCAATGCCCAAATATTTAGCATTTGTTCCATTGACCTGAAAAACAAAATAAAACCCAGACGAGTGTTTTAGAGAGTAACGTGAAGTTAATAAAATTATTAGGACGGCGTTATACAGTATAATCCCAACACTGATGTCATAACCAGACAAAAGGAACTGGGTAGTCTACAATCTTAATATCAGTTTTTTAGTGAGAACAAAATGAACAATACACACCATCATAAAACAGTACGGACAGAAGTAATCATAAATAAAAGTATGACTCGTTGCCTTATGAAAACTTAGAATAACAAAACGTTTTGAAATTCAACAGGTACCTGATAAAATCCATCTGACAATTCTTCTATCGGATAGTGGTACAGCTGCTGATTGTAAATGACGCTCAGAACATACTTGTGAGTCGATATGCTGAACCTTATAAGAAAAGTCCCATTTTGTGAATGATGTTTCAGAAGTCGTTCAGTGTCCTCCCGACTAATATTTCCGTGAAACCAGTGACCAGACGGGACCACTTCCGGTGGATCAGCCACAGTTCGTACAGGCATTCTAGGAGTGACTAGTTCGAAAGGTGAAAGTACGACAGATGACGCAGTAATTGGGATTGGTCTGTGAATTACACGCGGAAGTGGCTGGTTCAAAACGTTACAACTGTCGTTTGCTTGTTTCCGGTGTTGTGGCATTACAATGACGTGTCGATACAAAAAAATCCGTCAGATAGTATTCAAGAACTTGATGTATGTCTAACATGTACAACAAACGATTAAGAAGACCAGTACGATCCCGCCATGTGTTACTACTGACCTTAAGATCCAAGTCAGAAAATTAAAACGAGAATATTGTTCCAAATCACATGTGTACTATGATTATTTACAATCACAGTAATGTGTACAGATATGTCGCTGAAAAACAGTTGGATGTTTAGCATAGTTTATCAGTCATTTAGAGTCGAAGCACTCCCAAGTTTATGTGTTGAAATTAATAAACTTTTGATTTATAACTTATTATTTACAATGGCTATGGACAGTCTAGTCCTTCAGGTGTAGAATCATGAATATGAAAAACCCTTAAGTAAGGAGGGGGAGTTTACGGTAACCTAAAAAGACCGCATGCTCCATGAACGGGAAGAACTGCTCTGACTTGACTTGCAAAAAATCACGCGCTCTGATTAAAAGGACAGTGGTATTTTTCCTTGTTGAGTAAATTCTATTGCTTTGATCGTTTATTACGTATCAAGACTACTGTTTTCACTTCAACTGAGTTTATTTCAGTTAAACTATTCGATTAGAGTATCGTTTCTGTTTCTAAAGTAGTTTGTCGTCGATACTTTTAAGTACTTTGTTTTCTACTGTATCTGTTAGTACTTTTGGTTCTAACAATCTACAGTTCTCCACTTTTTTGGTCATAGGTCATTTTTTGTCTGTGAGTATTACTGCATCTAGTTCTTTTTAAAAAAAGCACTCCTGTATAAATGACTGGACAGTGCAAAAATAGAAATTGCCAACGTCCGGGCTGTCGTTATCCCGTTGAAAGCAGTATGCAGTGCGATGAGTGCAAAGGCTGGTACCATAAAGTTTGCACGAATTTAACGCCTGAGGCTTTCAAACGGTTCAGTAAAAACGGTTGCGTATGGCTTTGTCAACAGTGCTGTTCGGATGCGAACAGCTTGCTAACGGAGGCCATCTTACTGGCATATGCTGCAAAAAGTGCTTTGGCAAGCGTGGATCGAGATACATCGAACAGTGCTCGCTCCGTCAACACTCAAATTGATGTGAAGCAAACTCAGGTGAGTTTGGGAGCAGGTGGCTCACACCGACTAAAGGAGGAAAAACAGTCTTCAAATAGGTCTGTCTTAACCGAAAACTCAAGAAAAGAAGTTTTTTCTGTCCCCGTCTCCTAAATGATATCCAGCAGGAAACGCTCGATCGGTTTCTAGCGGGAAACATAGCCTGACCTCTCAAATCGTTGATAACCCTACGGAATTCCAGAGTATGTTTGGCGCAACTGTGGTTGCCTCTCATAGCAACGTTGACGAATGGGTACAGGTTGTAAGGAAGAAACAACATAATGATATAAAAGGGAATCCTGCCCCCGTAAAAGTAGTCGAGAAATCGAAGGCCCGTCACAGCGAAAGATCAGTTATTTTTCATAGAATTAATGAGAGTAAAAGCTCTGAACCAAAAGCTCATTTTGAGCATGACATTGTGCTGATTAAACAGCTGCTAAATCAACTCGCGCCTCAAAATATCATCGGTGTCACCTTTCTAAAGGTGTACAGACTAGGGAGTCTAGCGAACTTGAAACCAAATCAATCCAGACTGCTTAAAGTAGTACTCAAATCTTCGAACGAACGCGACCTAATTTCACAGAATGGACATAAATTAAAGGGTTCAGGAGTTTTTAATCGTAAGGACTTGCCGTTGGTGGGCCGTGTAAAAAGACGGTAAGCTGAAGAAGAACTACAACTTAGGTTAGACGCTGGCGAGAAGGACATAAAAATTGTAAATTTTCGGGTTGTGAGGCTTCAAAAGAAAATGATGCCGAAGATACTCTGAGTGAAGGACGAAGCCACTTAAATATACTTCGGATCCGTTACACTAATGCCGAAGCTTTCTCAATAAGCAATCGGAACTAGGTGTACAGATTGACTCTACAAAGCCAGACATAATCGCAGTAACAGAAACCTGGCTGACACAGGCTATAGATAGTATGGAACTTGATTTCGAGGGTTTTACGTTAGTAAGGGCCAACAGAACACAAAAGCGTAAAGGAGGAGGGGTAGTTCTATTCATTAGGAATGCTATCCCATTTACCATTATCGATAGTGTATCCCATGAGAGTGGGACGTGTGAATTAGTTAGTTGCCGCTTAAAATGCAAGGGACAAGAGCTGCTGATTGGTTTGGTCTATCGCAGTCCAAGCTGTGAGGCAAATGAGATCCTGTTAAGCAGTCTCAATACTTGGTCCCAAAGTGGTCGATGTCTAATCCTAGGGGACTTTATTGCACCTATGGTAGACTGGGAAAGTCTGCGAACTGAATCGTCAGAATGTTCCTTCGACCAGGAACTAGTTGATGTGGTTATCACATGTGCCCTAGTGCGACGTGTGAAAGAAGCGACTATGTACGACCCGGAAACTGAATCATCCTTTCTTGGTCTTATATTAACTCACTATGGCGATGACGTTGCGAACGTCCATCATGTGCCACCACTAGGTAAAAGTGATCACGCAGTTTTAACTTTTGACTTCCGTATAACTATCAATCACGAGCACGTGTTAGCTCAATCCAGAACTAACGTCTGGAAAGCAAACATACAAGATATCATGCACTAAGCAACGTTAGTAGATTGGACAATAGACCCAGAGTCCTCAGTTGAAACGTCTTTGGACGCATTTCGAAATTTATACTTGAATGTAACCGCACGCCACACCACTTGGACCGCACAAAGAGGGTTGAGAAACTCTCCACCATGGTTCAGTAGGGAGGTTCGCATCCTTCTCGTAAGAGACGAAAAATGTGGGACAGATTTAGGTTACTGAAGACTGATGAGACAAAATCTCAATATCGAAAAGCTCAGAATACCTGTGCCTCGACCCTCCGTAAGTCTAGAAAGTTGTACGAAGAAAAGATTGTTAAGGAATCCATAGAATGTTCCAAATGCTTGTACTCCTATATAAGCCAAAGAACAATAATAATATATATATTCCTGCATGTGCAGGTACACGCCATTTTTACAGGCATGATCTATTAATTACAACATTTGTTGGTTCACAAAAGGCTTCTCAACTTATTGAGTTTATAGTTGTTACAAGGTATACTCGTAGGGCGCTTGCTGTAAACCGTGACCTTGATGGGACGCGTACGTCAAGTTTGTTCCAGACGTCAGAATTTTCATAGCTGTGCCCTCAGAGCAAATTTCTGAAGAAAAAAAAGAGAAATAGAAGAGCAGCAAGGCACCTGGATATGAACGCCAAACCTTGCTTGACATTGTGTAGTATAACAGACAGAGGTATAATAAATTAGAATAGATACATATTATCTCTTGTTATTGTGAAATGCGGCCAGGAGCTCCATATTAGAGAGTGTATGAATAAAGAACAATGAGTTGTGTCGTTTAACAAGTTGGAGTAAGCTCACATGAAGGAAGGGAAGTCAAGGTTGGTACAAGGAAAGCGGTTTATTAGGAGTGTATATAGAGGGTGAAGTATTAAGAATACTAATGACTATATCTTTTGTCGTCTGATTTTCTCCTTTTTTTGTCTATCCGATACCACCCACGCAATCGTAGTGTAAAAGTCCGAGTTAGCATATCATAGGTTGTCTTAGTAGAATATCTAATCCAGCATAATATTTGAAACGCGAGTCTGAGTGGTGAGCGTAGGAAAACAATCTATATCATAGAGGAAATATTCTTGTACTATGGGGACATGATACTGCCGCATCATTAGTGGAGGATGACTTTGGTTAGGCTCAAGCGTTCTCAAACTACTTTAGCAGTGTAAATTCCATAGAAGCACCCTTCCCGTCAGCGCATACAAATCCCCACACATACGCTGGATAGCATGACCATTAAGGAACTCGATGTCTTTAGTCTGGAGGGTGGCGTTACTGACCAGCAAACATGATAGTGGGGAGATAACTTCAGTCCACCCATGTCTGTAGGACAGAACATTTTGTTTAATCACGGCTCCTTATGGTTTAGTGGGATGTTACGAACTTAAGGTATTAGTGCTGATTTATCATGCAAAATACCTCATTAAATCGTGTTACGAAAGTTGAATCGGTTTCACTTCCTACTCAGTAATCCTATTACAAGCAAACTAGACAATTCGATAATATACGAAGCCTACTCAAGACCCTATAACACCTTAAAAAAAACGAAAGGGGCTCTAATAGCTTCGATAATAAAAGGAAGATAGCCAGTTGTATATCACAATACTGTTTCTAGCACTATATTTTATTTTATAACCACACATAATCCCATACTCTCAGCTCCTTTCCGAATCGCCTCCATTTGTCAGTTGTATGTCCACTCATACTTTGTTTACACTTATTTTCTTTAACCTAATAAAATGCTATTGCTTAACAAATACCTTAATAAAAGAAAATTAGAATGAGTAATCATGCCTTAAGCATTCCTTCATGAATATTGGCTACTCTGCTTCTCGTGTTTTATTTTACTTGCTCCTTTCAGCCCCCTTGAGATATGGAACTGGTGACTTCATCCTGCACCATCCTTAAAGCTTTAGATATTCCAAAGGGACATATGGTTGCGATTTCTAGAAGCTCCCATTTTCTATGGGCCTATCCTTGACCATCAGTTGCACATTGGCGACGCGACTTTCATGAAGCGCGCCAACGGTGATACTGACTAAAACCATATACATTCATATCTTTTAAATAATCAAACCAGTTGAGTAATTTACTACAGTGGGTATTGTAACATTTGTAAAAATTTGATCTTGCCTGTAAACTGGCATGCCTCATGTAACAAACTGTTATTTGAGAACAAATTATTATTATTAAATAAGTTTGACATTGGTAAATCCACGGGGCCCGATGAATTGCATCCTGGGCCACTGAAGGAATTATCTAACTTCGTTGCGAACCCTTTAAGTATATGCCTTGACCTATCCGCAACTCAGAGGCGTTTACTAAAAGACTGGCAAAATGCCACAGTAAGTCCAGTCTTCAAAAACAGGTACGGAACATAAACCTGAAATTTACCGCCCCGTTAGCCTAACTAGTGTTGTTGTTAAAATCTTAGAAAAGATTATTCGGAGGGAGCTGTTTAAGTATTTCGATAAAAACCGGATTT